GAGGTGATGTAGTAAAATACTTTGTGGTACACGGCAGCAACATGCGCACGAAAAGCCGTGGACACTGCACTGACTGAAGCATCAAAATGCATGAAAACGAATTAGAAAACAGTAGTTTCCGGTGTGAATGCCTGAAACGATAGTACATATACACCAAACAAATCCCCGTGTGACTAGAGGCCTAATCCTGGAGCTTTACTACACTCCTCTGTTTGCTTCCAAAAATCCTTTGGCGTAGTGTGCCAAATGCGGTCGTCTCTTAATAGCTCCCTCATATTTTCAGTCATGGCTGCTGTTCTCTGAATTTGTGACCAATTTCGACTTGGGACATACAAACTCATAAAGGACCATATCGCATGATGAGGGGGTGCGAAAAGTTACTAAGATTAGTGCGCGGGTTCAACCAATAACTGATCCTGGGGACAAAGACGTGGGAGGATTTCGATTCAGCCAATGATCTACCAGAGCCACAATCACATAGTTGTCAACTGTGATTAACACTCACTGATGAAATACGTCATATGAATCGTCAGAATTCTCGTAGCGTATTTGCATGGGTTATCCTAAGTCATCAATTGGCCACTGTACATATGAACACGAACTCGTTCAAAAACCTGTAATCACAATGATAGTATCCATATTTAGATGAAATCGGCTTTTCGACAAAGTGGATGGTAGATAAATACGGAATGTGAATATTCGTGGGATTGCCAACAGAAACCCAGCATAAATGCATGAGTATTTAGAATCACCATCAATCATTAACAACTAGCAACGTCACATTTCACATAAACAATAACTTAAAAGCGTTCTGGGTCTCTTCAGCGCGCTGTAGATATGTGCATACCAAGCTGACCAAGAATGGGCGGTCACGTGGGTCGTGAAATCATCAGGTGAAGTAGATCCAACTATCATACATTTCCGTTTTAGCGTCGGACTTGCTCTGATGTAGTTTAAATGAACAGACAAATTAAAGTGATGAAGAATTACATCTGCATCGGCGGATAGGCATTGATATGGCTATAAATATTTGGAGAGGTCGTCCGAAGGAACCAAACGTCATTTAATCGGCTGGGTGGTCTCTTCTGTAAGGAACCTAACTGAAGAACAAAATGGTTCTACATAATTAAGTCATCATACGTACCACTGTATATTTTCCTCTACTGCAAAGTAGCATTGGTTGATATCTCCGGGAAAAGACTTCTGATTCAGGTTATCTGTCTGAATCAGTTGCTAATGTCATACAAGGTAGCCATCAATCTTGTGCGCTTTAGATAATATGGCGAACCTTCAGTCTCTGAATACGCTTCTAGTAAAATGTTAACAATCCTCAAACGACATTGAAGTTCCTTGAAACAGCTGACTCTGTGGTGCCGTATGTATCTCATCGTACACAAAAAGGAGTGCACAGCAAACTGAAGAACTTTTAGGATTTCGCAGTAAACTTTACCAAGCGTGACCTAATTAACGGACAGGTACCGAATCACATTAGCCGTCTGGAGAAATGATCGTGAGTATGGTTTCGTAAGTGTCGCCTTCGAGCATCGCCGGACGATCAGTCTAGAATACAATCATGTCCACGCACGCCATCAGCGCATAGCGGTAGATTTGTCGAAGTCAATCAATAGGGCGGTCAACTCGAATAAACGGTGAAGTAATAGCATAAGTGAAAGAAACAATCCTATCGACCACCCACTCCTTCGCATCTTGCAGACAGCGTCCTACCTTTAGGAAAACCTCTACCCAAAAACCGTCTCGAAGAGAACAACTATTTTTTATTCAGCGCATTTGCATAAATTCTCTGTTACTCGAGCAGACACCGGTCCATCTCTAAGGAGGAATATTCAGACAGAAACCCAACCGAAAGAGCATATTTTCTAGGAAGAGAGGAAACAGATACCGTAATAATGATTGACGGTTTGTTTTCCAAGGCGAAATGAACCAAATTTCGCCCACCCAAATATAACTGATCGGTAGTTTGAGACTCACCATTCGTCCAAACAGTAGCATGACAGCATCGTGGTACTATACTACTCTACTCCACCAAAGTGTACATTTGATATAAAAAACAGAAATGGGAACTTTGTCAAACCTCAATAGGGCCACAAGAATCTTAATTAGCCGGGCCGGAGGTATCTCCAAGTGAATATTATATTGACAGAATTTCCTGAAGAAACCAAGTCTGTTTTGCTGACTGGAGTGAAAAATGAACATTTTCACGTTGTTGACGATTCGGAAGATGAACAATCGGGTGTGGCATGATTCCACGATTGGATATTGTATTCGAAATTTTTCAATGCAGGATGGAAACTCAAACGCACATCAGAAACCTTTAGCATTCCTTGTGGCAGCTCTGACCTACAGTCTAATCCAGGCTGAACTGAAAGTAAGCACAGACTAAGATACCGGAATAGGTGCTAACATGTATGAATGGATGCAAAAACAATTTCCCAAGATTGACCTGCTCGTACGCATGGCCCACATCCAGCTTAGAAAATGACAGGGCAGAGCGAGTGGGGAAATGTCAAGGATTCTGTAGAAAATCGTTCAGCTGTAGCACTCTTCCGGTACCTAATTGCCATGCCACCAGAGGGAAGCACGTGGACTAGGATACTGCCAGGTTGCCCAAGCCCAGACAGGGGACGTCAAGAAACATAAGTCG